GATTCCATGGAGGACTCTAGATTATGTTGCCATGACTAGGACAATATATGGGATTCAGACTCATTCCAGGACAGAGGTAAATGAGACTCAGTGAACCATGAAGAGGAATAGATTTAAATTCACCAACCCAAAGACTGACTCATCATAAAAAAAATTCACTCAGGTATACTTAGATTTTTTTTCTCAGACCTCTCTGCTCTCCATCTTCATCCTAGTGTCAAGAATATTGTCTCCAACCTCAGTGCTAAGGTGAAAATGTATACCTCACATGTAGTTTTCAAAAGCTGGAGAAATATTCCGACTAACTGTGTGCCAAGGAAGTCTCACTGTCCTTTCTACTTCAACACATAATGTAGGCTATCAAAGGTAATATGCCTTTTTCAAAACAGAATATGGAGTTAAAACTGATTTTCTGATCTAACTGTCACACAGTCACCTCCATCACTTGTGTCCTTGGGAGAGAGATAAAGGGATGTCCAGATTTTCTTTGACTACTCAGTTGAGGCACTGGGCAGGGGTAACTCAGGTTTTCCAAGGCACTTATGTCTTGCCATCAGAGAGAGCACCCTGGAAGTGTGCAGGAGCTGAAGTTATATCCACCATGGAATTTCATCTTGTTCAGATCTGCTTTGAATGAATCAGACACAGACAGGGTGTCTAAGGTATTCCTGCTTACTTAGAGTGAACTGATTGCCACAACTGCTTACCATCTGCTAAACACCTTCACTATAGTGCCATGATTAGTGTTGGGTGGAACAATTGGAGCTGACAAGTTGACTCCTAGAATAAACAATTATACATTTTAATTTCATATTTTATATTTGACAGTAAAACCATGTTTGGGTCACAAAATGCTGAGCCTGTATCAGCACCACTCAATCAAGATCAGGGGAAGCACCAGGTTGAGTCTTCTTCACAATAGGAAAATGGACTTTCATGAGGCAGTGGAAACCTGGGACCTTCACCATCCCTACAACTTAGAACATTACAGATGCAATCCTGGAACCAGTCGGGCCACCTGCACGTGTGGGTAAAATGCCAACACAAAAGAGGGAAACATTTCTGTGGACTGTGAGTATAAAACATTTCCAAATCTTAGTGGGTCCTGTAGATATATTAGGTGGGTATGGAAATTAAATTGGAATGGAATACAGGCAGACATTTCCATGGATTTTGGAATAGTCAATGAAGAGAAGTCAAGGGGCTCCCAGACAAAGCTCACTGCTGGGGTGCTCAGCATGGATTGTAGAGTATCACAGAGAATGATCAGAACCACAGAAGGGAACTCAGGGCATTCATGCAGCAATGAGTACCACAGAGCATTATCAGAATGACCAAGGAGGCTCAGGACCAAAATGGAGGACTGAGGACTACAGGGGATGATCAGAACCACAAACGCGGCTTAGGACTTTCACTGAGCAACACAGAGATGACTAAAACCTCTGGAAACACCAGGGGATACCCAGCCTCAATCTACTAAAATGGCCCAAAAGGAGTGGGGGTACTGCAGCCATGGGGAGACAGACCTGCTGAGGTCCTGGTTCTCTTTACCCTTTCTACTCCTGTGAGTCTCTCCCTCCTTTTATTTAATGACATCACAAATTCATTAACTTTAAATTTTTTCTTCAAGCATTGTAAGCCACATGACCTTTTATACACGGAATGTCAAATATAATTTCTGATCATTCTTTACATATTAATTGATGTAGTGTCCATATATTTCATTCACAACTTCATATACCACCAAGTCAAGAGAATTTAGATCATTGCTTAATTTCTCCAAAGAATAGAACTCTCATTAACTATTCCTGTTTTTAATTTATTTGTTTTCAGCATTGGGGAATGAACCCATTGCCTCATTCATGCTAGGAAAGCAGCAGTAAAACTTGATCCAAACCCCAGCCCTCTTGTTAGTATGTAGTTTTTGATATAGTTTCACTATCTTTTCCTGTGACTGGCCTCCCACACATGATCCTTATGCCTCTATATCCCAAGTTGTTGGGATTACAGCCTTGCACTGCACCTGGCTTACCTCTCTCACTTTTGATTCTTCCGTTGCCCTCTTCCTGCCTGAGTTGATGAAATAAATATCTATTTCTTCTCTTTGTGGATTTCTACATTCTGGATATTTTTTTCACAAGGAGACTCACACAATCACGAGTAAGACTTTGTCTCTTGGTTTCTTTACCCTAGAAAAATAATTTCATTTTTGTCATTGTGCCAATTTGTAATTATATGATAAAATTTTAGTTATTATCGAGTGTTGATGAAGATGTGTAGCTACTAAAAGAGTCCTGCAATACTGATGGGAATGTGGAATTTTGTAGTTACTTAAGATGTTTTTTGTCATAATAACCATAATTCTATACTTATGTGTATAGATTAGAAAATTGGAACAGTATATTCACACAAACCTTGCATTGTAGAACTCTTAACAGTCATCTAAAATCAGATACACCCTGTGTCTATCAATTCTAGAAGGCCAAAGAAAATGAACTTTAACTACAGAATGGAATATTCAACTTTCACATGGAAGTTCCTCTGAGACTACAAATGGAAATACCATACTATCCTCTGGTGTAAAGGCTTTCTGTTGGTACAGTGGTTAGAAATCTATGAGAAATGGATAACTTCCTGAACACATACATCCTACCAACCATGAACCAGAAGAAAATAAAAAAACCTGAACACAGTAATAATGAGCAATGTTACTGTATCAGAAATAAAAAATCTCCTATCAAGAAAACTTCAGGAACCAAAGGATCGATTCTGAATTTTACCACACATTTAATGTGTAATATAAATTATTTCCAAACTTACAAAATCTTTACTTTTTATTTAATTTATTGCAATCGATAGATTAAGACATAAACACTATGCATATTAACTGTGTACTGTGTGATGTTTTGATGCTGTGTTCATTGTGTAATATTTCTCAGGGTGAAAATATTTACCTACTGAAACCTTTACACTGAAAGGAAGGGAATTTTTCCAAATTCCTATGGTGAGATCACCATCACCATGATACCAAAATTGGACAAATACTACAACAAAGAAGAACACTTCAGGCCAGTGTCATTGATAAGCAGAGGTGACAAACACAATTATAAAAACATTTTTAGTACCATATTTAAAATATCACTTACCATTACCAATTGGGAAACACCCAACAAACAAAAGATAGCTCAACATATGAAAATCTGTGAGCATGCTAAACTGTCAAGAGAATGAAGGCAGAAACCATATGAACATTTCTTCAGATCAGAAATAATGAAAACAATCAACATCAACATGCAGGATGGAATTTCTACGAATCTCACCAGGAATGTCCAACTTGTCCTGGACATGGATCAGATGAACATTTGTGTCCCATAGAGAGGATCAAAATTACATGACCTGAGCTCCCTCTCTCTGTTGGAGCTCTCGGATGCATTGAACTACTCACGTATGCCGCTCTTGTAATTTCACATTTGGATGGAAGAGTTCATGATGAAACATCCATTATAGGTACTTTACATGCTTAAAAATAAATTAAGAAACTAGCAGGTAAGTGCATTCCACAATGCACTCACATATGAAATCACACTTACATGAGTGTTGTTGTTGAACCAGTCTCTTTTGTCACAGAATTAATGTAGGGGAATCCTCTCACTCATGGGTGCAGTGCCAAGCAGGCTATCTAGCAGGAGGACATGCAAATAGTGCCTCCCTGTCCTCATGAAACCAGCACAGCCTTGACCCTGCAGCTCTGGGAGAGGATCCCAGGCCTGGATTCCCAGCTGATCCCATTTAGTGATCAGCACTGAACATGAACCTCTCACAATGGAGTTGGGGTTCAGCTGGGTTTTCCTTGTTGCTATTTTTTTAAAATACGATTTATGGAGAAGAAGAGATGTGAGTGTGTGAGTGGACATGAGAGGTAGAAATAATGTATATGCTAGCATGCATCTAGTAATATTGCTAAATAAACATAAAATTAAAATATGAAAAATTAGCATATATTACAGGTACAAATGACAGAAAATCTCATCAAACATGATTCCAGGCATTCATAACATCACTAGGATCTCTGCATTTTCTTGATAAATAGTACACAAATTCTCTCATTGTGGGATTGATTTTATTTTATAGTAACATAACACAGGTTCTAATAGCTAATGTAAGACTTATCATCATCGTTTAGTTATTAATAGTTAAAATAGCATTAGAATGGAGAATTTCATTGACACCTGTGGTTAGCACCTTCTTGTTTTTCCATTATCTGTTAGGAGAATTGTCAGGTATTCCTTAAAGCACATTATTTGAACTTCAGGTGTTGGTGACAAATATTTTTATTTATTAGATGAAAAAACACATTGGAGGCCAATGTTATTTAATAGTCATTTTTATGGCTTGTAAGATATGGATGTTGGGAGTCCTTCTTTCTTAATACTAATAATGTTAGATAGCTTAAGTTATATTTGAGTTCATACTGTGCTAAGTGAAACAAGCCAGACATTGACAGACAAATACCACAATATAAGAATTCTAGTGGAATATAAAAAAATGATTTTAAGGAAGTCTCAAGTAAATGGAGGTCAACAGGTTTAGCCCAGTGGCTTCAAGGAGATGATAATCAAAGGATGAAAATTAACCATGAAGGACAAATGAAGACATCTTGTGGGTGGGTACCAGTGGCTCATACATGCAATCTTACCTACTTGGGAGGCTGAGATCAGGAGGATCTTGGAAAAAAACTCAAGAGATTCCATCTCAAATGATAGCTATGTGCTATGGAACAAACCTTTCATAACAGAGAGGGTGGGAAGAGTAAAATAGGAGGATCTTGGTCCAGGCAAGCCTGGGCAAAAAGTGAGCCCCTATCTCCATAATAAACTGAGTAAAAATGCTAGAAGTATGGCTCAAAGAGTACAGCTGCCTAACAATGTTCAAGGGCTTGTGATCAAACCCCAGTACAACACAGAGACAGAGAAAAAAAAATCTTCGATCTTTTGCGCAACATGGCAATTTTAGCTAACAGTTCTACATGGTATTCTTCAGAAAGTGCTAAGGCTGTAGATTGTATTTTCTGAATACAAATTGATAGCTTTGTGAGGTGATACATGTGTAATTAGCTACATTAATCAAAGTGTGTGCATTTGAAATCATTAATGGATTCACACAGGTTTTAAATGCCAAGCTTTGGCTTCTGTCTTCTTTATAAGAATTGTATTTAAATAAATGTAGTATTTGTTGATACTTGGATACATTTTATAGAATATGTGATGAATGCACAATGTTTTACATCAAACCAAAGTAGAATAAACCTAATTTCTGGATAAATGTCAGGGATGACTGGAGGATGAAAAAAGCAGTAATAACTCCCAGGTGTCCTCACAGCATCAGCACATCTCTTATTTCCTTTTTAAAAGTCTTGTTATATTTCTGAACAGCATGCATAGACAATACAAGAGGGTTTCGTTGTGGTAATTCCACACATGAGTACAGTGTACATTGAATATATTCATTTCCACTACTATATTTTCCCTCTCTCTTTCCCACTTTTTCAATGGTGTTGGTTGGTTTTATTAAGAGGCATGAAGCAGGACTAGAGATGTGTCTCAAGTGGTCCAGCATCTGCTTTGCATGCGTGAAGCCCTGAGTTCAAACCCCAGTCCTACCAAAGTAAAAATGCACGAAGCAGATGAAACTACACTTGAGTATCATCTAATATTTTTAGATAAATATACTGAAATTCTCACAATAGAGGGTTGTTTTAATTTTACAGCATCTAATTGAAAACTAATTTAATATTATTTATAATACATAGTTCAGTCTTGCAATTATCAAGAAAATTATTGTGTTAAATAACACCATGGAAGAGGGAGCTGGGATGGAAAGCAGAAAGGAGAAGCGGCTTGGAGGACAGCGGTTCTGTCTTAGAAAGTCAGAATCATCATGGTCCTGTTTACCCAATCCCACTTAAACCATGTATACTATTATCAAATTTAAACACCAGCTGATTTTGGACAAAGATACTCACGGGGCACAGGAGCCTGACCTCAATCCCTCAACATGTATAAGAAGATGAGTCCCCACATGCAAATTATTATTCAGTTTCTAGGCTATATCCCCCTCTCAGGCTGTGGAAGCTCACAGGTCTCTCCTCACTCACAGAGCTGAAGTCACTGGGAAGACAGAGCTGTGTTCTAGAACATGAGACTGTTGAGTTTTCTCCTGTGTCTTGTGATGTCATTCAAAGGTTACAGTCTGTAATATCATAGATGGGGATATAGACAGGTTGTGACTCCAGTTGACTAACAGGAATGATTCACCTTTTCCCCAGGTACCCTCTCCCAGGTGAAGCTGCAGGAGTCAGGATCTGACCTGATGAAGCCCTTGCACACCCTATCCCTTACCTGTTCTGTCTCTGGATTCTCCATCACAACCAGTGGTCACTGCTGGCATTGGATCCGCCAACCACCAGGAACAGGACTGGAATGGATGGGTGTTGTATGTCCTGATGGTAGTACTGCCTACAGCTCACCCCTCAAGAGCCGCATCTCCATCTCCAGAGACACGGCCAAGAACCAGTTCTCCCTGCACCTGAGCTCTGTGGCCACAGAGGACACAGCCATGTATTTCTGTTCCACATACACAGTGAAGGAATTTTAGTTTGAGCCCTAACAGAAACCTCTCTGCATGGGTGCTGATGGCCAGCAGGGGACACTCAGCTCACAGCAAGCACAGCATCAGCCCCAGGGCAGGTACAGACTCAGACATGAACTTTCCTTCCTGAAGCTCTGGCTCCTACCAGACACAGTGATTCTGGAGATCTCTCCATCTCAGAACATCAGAAATGTGTTTTTTCCTTTCTTTCTTTTATGTTTGATGGTAGCAGGGCCATGTGTTTCCTACACAGTGATCTACCACTTCAGCCACACCTCCAGACCTCCTTGGCTTTAGATATTTTATTCAGATAGAGGCTCATATTTTTGACTGCGGTGGGTCTTGCACTGGGATACTCCTACTGACACCTCCAATGCAGCTGAGATCCTGAATAAAAGCCACCAAGCCTGCCTTGTTTGTTGAAATGTGTTTTTACTCATAATAAGTGTTATTGTCATTATACTGGTATCATCATTTTTTACATTTGTTTTCTGTTTGTCCTTCTACTGTATATAAACCAAACATTTTTCTATATTGCATCTGCCCAGCTTTCAAAAACTTTATTCATAATTACAGATGTGGTAATGCATTATTATTAGTAAACAGTGGTAAAAGCATGAGCAATGAGGGTTTCTTTCAAGATTATTTTTATTTCCTTTGCCTCAGTAAAAATCTCTCCAGAATTTGCACTGTTGTACATTCTAATCTCATTCCTGATCATCAATGGATGGCTTGATTCACTTACTAACAAATGTGACAAAATTCACTTGCAGATATTTTTATTTTCTTAATGATATTTTATGATTTTAGCACTCCACATTCTTATGTAAACTAGATTTTTCAAATTTGAAATATGAATATATTTTACATAACCTGAGTAAAAATTACTGTTATATTACATTGTATTTTAAATATAATTAGACCTAGGTTACCAGCATTGCTTTTTTTATGAAAATCTCTCTTGCACAGAAAAAAGCCTGCAATATATTTAAATTAATTAAATAATTTTATTTTTTAAATTTTCTGTAGTAGGGGGAGTTGAATATAAAGCCTTACTCTTACTAGGCAAATAATATGATAGAGTGCTAATTATTTATTAATTCATTGATCTATTTTTTTAATTTTTGTTCTAGAGTTTGAACCCAGGGTCTCATAAATGCAAGTGATATTCTCTGCTTGATGCTACCCCCCTATGCTTATCATTCAAATTTTTAATTTATATGTAATATTTAATAGATAAAATATAATATTGGTACATCCACTCAAGGCATCAAGATAAAATCAGAAATTTGAAATATGCAAAACATTGTAGCAAACTACAATAAGACCACTGTGCTATAGAAGACTAGAATTATTTCCTCTTACTGTTATTTGGAAACCATTCTTCCTCATTCCATCCCTTCTCCATTTTCCCAGTCTCTAGTGACCCCTGTTCCTCCCTCTCCTTCCTATGTGATCAGTTTTTATCTTCTGTACATGAGGGAGGTTATGTGTTATTTCTATGTGTTCAATGAAACTTTCTTCACCTGTAATTCATCCTTTACTTCCATACTAATTGTCAAGCTGGCAGTATGCCACCCTTTGTTGACTAAATAATATTCATTTTCTACACATCATGTTTTTGCTTTTTCCATCTTTCCAGTCACAGACACCTGGTGGGTTCTGAATAATGCTTCAATAAGCAAATGTTTGTAGATTCTTCTTTCATATACAGATTATAATTCTTTTCATATATACCTGCAAATGAAACTGTTGGATCATATAATAGGTCTGCTTTTAATTTTTAAGGGAACTTCAATGCAGTCTTTGAAAATAGCTGTACTAGATGCAGGGCAAGTGTCTTTATTGAAGCTTTCTCTATTTGACTCTATTAATGAGAAGAGTCAAATAACAAAGAAGAGAGGAAGAGCATCAGGAACCGTGTGAAAGAGAGACAGGACATCTGGACAAATTGGGAATCTGAAATGCTTGAAAGCATTGAGGGAAGCAGTCAGCAAGTCCAGGCCTAGTATCCTCCCTCACAAGGGAAGGGAAGGAAAGCCTCCACCACAAAGATCACTAGTTGACTTTGGTGACAGAGTACCAGATCTAGCTGTGAATCAAGCCCTGATTTCCCCTAAACCTTATATTAAGTGTGAGAATTTAGTGTGAAATTGACTTCTCCTTGATGACCAGCTAGTCATGAAGATGTGTCTTCTAACAGAAAGACCATGTTTGAGGCTGGGCTACACTGGGAACTAGGAATCATTCTGGCATGGGGAATCATGTGACACCTTGCTTCAGTATCTGCATGGGAGAGGTCCATGACAGGTGCCAGTGGAGAGTGAAAGGTTCTAACATTGGCCCACTGAGATATTTAAACAGCAAGAAGTTCTAGCAGTGAAGGGAGTGATAGTTTTTAGCCACACCCTCCTTGGTGAGTAGCAAGGATTCAATGTAGAACAGAACACTATGCCTGTGACTGTCAGAGAGCTTGGCCTCCAGATACTGCCTGACACCTTTCAGATACAATGACAGATCTGAGCACTGACTTTGAGAGCTGTAGAATTTTCCCAGTCTTCTGCTTCCCTCAGATTAGGAACTGTTGAGTGGGGTCTGCAAGCAGTGAGACTGGGCTCCATGAGCTGCATACAGCTGTGGATGTTTTCATCCCATCTGTGGATAGATCTTCAAAGATAGATCTTCTTCATGCTGTGAATCATGTCATTTCCAAAACTCATCCCGCCCAAAGGCAAGGGACTGTGGCAGGGAATCTACAAGCAGAGCCATAAGTTCCACAAGCCTCTACCCCCTACTTTCCACACCATTTGGGCAACCCAATTATGTTTGTATACTGTAGTGCCTATAGATCAGTGAGAACATGCTCAGCCCACAGGCTGCAAAGATCCATTCATCCAGGAGTGGTTAGAAGAATGGAAGCCTCTAGTTTCAGCAGAACAGAAGTGGAAAATTGAAATTGACCTGCCCTGACTTCAACCAAAATATAGCACCAACCTGTGCACTACAAATGATAAGTGACCTGTTTCTCAGTGACAATGGAAGTACACCATGAGCAAGAGGGAAAATGTTTGCTACTTAACCAACCTCCCTTGGCCAGTGGTGAGGAACTTCATATCCACCCTGCCATTATGAACTCTTATCAGATCATTTAGAATACTTGAACTGAAATTCTAAGGGACATTAAAACTCCCTACTAAACACTGGGCTTCAGGTATGCAAATCCCATCACAGAAACACGAGAAATAATGAGAAAAAGCACCTTGACCTCTCCAAATGACACCATCTCCTAAGAATGGACCCAAATGAAGGTGAAGTAGATGTAATGGCAAAGAATTGAAAATAATGAATATAAGAACAATCAATGAAGTTAATGATCATCTATATAAACACCTGAGTACTTCAACATAATACAAATGAATCATTGGATTAAACAAAAAAGTTAATGCAACATATAGAAAAGTAATTTAATAAAGATACAGAAATCCTGAACAAAATCGAAGTGATTCTGTAAATGAGAAGCTCAACAAGACAAACAAAACTTCCAGTTAACCTTTTCTCTCATACATGGAAGATAAATCCAAAAGATAATCATGTCCACAGAAACAGGCATGGTCATATACAAACTCAGATGTAGAACATGTGTGTAAAAATGGAACTACTCTATGGGATGTGAGACAGTTATAGAGCATCTGAAATATCGTAAAACATAAGATCTGTGAAGGTTGAGGATGTAAGGATGTGTATTGAATCTGTTGAGAAATGGGGATGGGAGACAAAAAGATAAGGGAAAGTAATGGAAAAGGCTGAACTTACAAAAGTAAAGAATATCCACACAGAGATACACTGAGAAACCCTTTGGAATATCAACTTAAATATCAAAAGTGAAAGACAGGGCTGTAAAATAGGTACGTGAAGGGGGTATTAGTGTGAAGGAGAGGTGAATGAAGGAGATTAAGGTGAGGGTATATATTTGAATTCATATATTTATATAAAATAAAACAAAGAAACCTGTTGTAATTGCTTTAAGTGCATTTGGGAGAGAGTTGAGAGGGACAAATGATGGGAGCAAAGTAACTAATATACAATATAAGTCGAATCAGAATTGCCATATGAATCCTCTCCGGTATAATGAATATATCTTAATAAAAATTACAAAATAAAAACTCCTATTTAAGTCTCTTAACTTGGTCTTCTCCTACTTTTACACATGTACAGTAAGGAAAATTGTTTGGATTTTTCCATTCTAATTTTTTCATTGTTTAGCAGCAGACCTTATGATCATTATCATTTATTGGTGTTGATATGCATTGTAGTTTGCAGGTAAATTTCTTGACTCTTGTTATGTGTTGGTTTAGGAGCAGAAACTGTCTCTGCCATTCCTCACTTGGAAAGAGAAAGCTTTGTACACGTCCATTATGGTGAAACTACAGGAGATGGTCCAATTAAAAGAGATGGTTCATAAAAATCAAGTGCTGTTCATAATCACCTTCAAATTACTTTTTGAAAGATAAGTTCATTACAACATTTATTATTAAATGGAAAATTTGTTCATCTTTTCTACATAGTTTAATGTGTTGCGCTCCATGAATCATTTCATCACTATGCTAAAAGTACCTTGGCATTGTATGAGTATAAATAATTGTCAGGAACAAAGCCCCATGTGGTCAGGTGAAATCTGAAGGTAATTTAGGGTGGTATGGTGAGGTTAGGTTGAATGAAAGATGCAGTCCTTCTGTTAAGAAACTGATTGTGTAGACAAAATGTCACAGGTAAGCAGAGTTAGTACAACAGGCAGCAGAGAATTAAGTGAGTGGAACAATGAAGGACTGTCAGGCCTGTCTTGCTGGAACCTCTTTCCTCCACCACACCATGTGTTTCTTCCACACTGCACTGAGTTTGTTTTCCCATAATTACTTACATTCATATAGCACAATTCTACATCCCTATGTAAATATGCCTAGATTCCTACAGGCACACCACTGGTGTATATGCACACATAGAGAATG